CACTCGGCGGGAGCGTTTTTCTTGGAGAAGTAGGCGCATGGTCGTAGCACACCCTTATCATCGTACTGTGAGAGGACTCCTCCAACCGTGTATCCTGACGAGTCGGACTCTACCACTGTCGTACGAGATGGGTCAAAGGCTGCTAGTATCGGCTCTGTTGTGAAGAGTCGTTTTAGCTCCTGGAAGCTCTTCTCGCATATAGTAGACCAGACAAAGGGGACGTTGTTTTGCGTGAGTTGGGTAAGAGGTCGTACGACTTCTGAATAGTTTGGGATGAATTGTCGGTAGAAGTTGGCAAAGCCGAGGAATCCCCTCACGCCTCGGACTGTGGTTGGTGTTTCCCAGTCGAGTATCGCTTGCACTTTTTCAGCGTCCATCTTAACCCCTTCTCCTGCTCGTACGATAAAGCCAAGGTACTTGGTTTCGGTGCATTCGAATTCGCACTTCCCAATATCCAAGTGTAGGCCAGCTTCCTGTAGCTTCTGGAGGACCTTCTTTACGTGTTTTCGATGATCTTCGATGTTCCCTTCCGAATAGATCAATACATCGTCGAGGTAGGCGGAGCAGAAATCGTCTAGGTATTCTCGTAGGGACCAGTTGATATATTTCTGGAATGAGCTCGGCGCGTTGGCCAGGCCAAAGGGGGTAACAAGACATTCGTAAAGTCCGTACCTCGTACGAAACGCGGTTTTCCATTCTTCTCCTTCGGCAATCCGGATCTTATGGAACGCGGCTGATACGTCGAGTTTCGTGAACCATCTCGCTCGTCCGATCTGGTTCAGCGTCTCATGAATCAGGGGAAGGGGGTAGCGGTCCTTTTTTGTGAGAGCGTTTAGCGCTCGGTAGTCGACGCAGAAACGGAGCCCTCCTCCTGGCTTTCGTACGAATAGCACTGGTGCTGCTGCTGAGGATTTGCTAACCCTAATGAAGTTCTTATCCAAGAGCTCATTTAGGGTCTTTCGTAGCACTAGAAGTTCTTCGTTCGACATATTGTAGAGGGGCCCCCAGGGGACTATTGGTTCTTTACCATTTTCTCGTATAAGTTCGATTTTATGGTCGATTCCTTCCCCGCGGTGTGGTGGGAGTTTAGTCGCTTCGTCGGGGTCAAATAAAAGGGAGGAATTCGTGGTACTCAGTGGGGAGTTCCACCTTTAGGTCCTTTGGTTTCTTGGTTTTCAATGCTTTCTCGATATCGGCCATAGAGACAGCAAAGATTTGGGAATCGTACGAATTATGGTCTTTTATTGCTGACTGAATCTCTCTATGCATTGAGAGTGCCGAGATCTCTGTAGTATCGGGGAGAGGAGTTTTGCCGATCCCATAGAGGCGGGTTTTCGATGATCGAAGATATAACCGGTTCCTTAAAGGTTCGAAGCAAGCGTTCTGTTGTCTCAGCCAGGGTAGGCCAAGAATCAGGTCGTATCCGATGGAATCAGGGATCATATAGAAGTAGGTCTCTTTCTCAAAGTGGTGGTCAATTGAGAGGGAGGTTCGTACGATTTGTGAAATCGTCCCCTTTCCTCCTATTCCTCTTAATGTTCGTGGTAGGATCTCGAAAGTCTCTAAGTTCCTTTCTTTCGCAAAGGCTTCACTGATAGCTCCGTACGATAGGCATCCGCTATCGACTAAGGTACGGGCCATAGCTTGTCGGTCTAGGGTCGCGGCAATGACAAACGGTGGGGAGTTCATACGCGTGGCTTCAAATTCTTCCCAAACAGAATGTTTCAATTTTGAAGTATCTAGCGACCTCCGTACACGATTTCGTACGAAGGTTATTCTTTTCCCGAGTCGTTGTCTCCATCTGCATCGACAGCGTTCACCTCTAGAGGTCGGGTGGCAGGCCGTAGTCTACAGCCCGCAATCAGGTGCCCTCTCTGTCCGCAGCGTAGGCATTCCCCCTTCATTCGGCGTTGGTCAATCTCTTCCCGGGAGACCCATTTTGCCCGTTCGTTCGTACGAGAAGGACTGCTCCTTTGGTTTGTCTTTAGGGCGGCGATCTCGGCTTCTAGGGCGGCGATCCTAGTTGCTTGAGTAGGTTCCCAGTCCATCCTGCCGGCGTCGTCTTGGGTGTTGCTGAGATTGCCACGGAAGAAGGGTCTTAACTTCTTCTTCTGGAGCGTTTCAATCTGCCGAAGGTCGTGGTCGATCCGAAGAAGGCGGTTCCGGTAGTCATCGTACGAAGCGAATTCAGCTCCGACGGTACTCTGGAGTAGATCGACGTTGATTGCGGTCCGGAGAAGGGCCATCTTCTGGGCATCGGACCAGTGTAATCCACCCGCGGTAACTAGTGTCTGGTCGAACTCAGATAGGAAGTCGTGGAGACTCCTCCTACCCTGCTTCATCGAATTTACTCGTACGAGGGCACGTTGTTCCTTGTCTGGGTCTTCAAAGTAGAGATCCATGGCTTGGTAAAATTCATTGAGAAGGAGGGGTTTCTTCTCATTCTCCATTGCTACGATCCATGCGTGGGCTTGCTGGCTCGCAATGCCTTCTAGCCTACTAAACGCGTAGTAGGTCTTCATTTCCTCGGAGTGAAAGTAGTGGGCATCCATCAAGAACTTGATTTTCAAGTTCGTACGAAAGGCTGCGTACTCCTTAGGGTCCTGTCCATTGTAGGTTCGTACATCGGGGTAAGTTGGCCGGGTCGGCCCCCTTTCTATCCTATCGTTCTCTCGTGGTGGGGGGAAGATCTCTCCCATCGCTTGTTGTGCCGGTAGTGCGTCTGGTAGGTTGTCGTGATCAAAGGTATTATGTCGTCGTGGTTGGTAAGACATCTTGTCTCTCACTCTGTACTAGTAGGAACTCCTTACTAAGCGTCGATAAAGGTGACGAACGAAACCTAATGTTACGGAACTAGCCTAGTTGTGCAACTTAGACGGGTTTTAAGAACAAGAAGGTTTCGTTGAGGAGAGGAGTTCTCCTGAGCTAACAAATGTGTACATATTCCGTCGAAGGCGGTAACGTTTGGCAGATTCCGCGCAGCATAAGCAAGCATCTTCCATAGGGCTTCGTACGAAGTACGACGGCCCCATAACAAAAATATAGAGGAAAACATAAAATTAATACACACCCCTTAAGGTTATAAGTCTAGGCATATTTATATTATTTAATATCTATTAGATATCCGCAAATATCCAATAGATATAAGGTCTATATCTAAATCCGTAAGGCTGCGGATATAGATTATGGATATCCGCGGATATTGTGGATCGTGCCGCAGTCTACGTGCGAGGATTATTGAAAGTGCTAGAAACCTTATAGAATAGTGCTTTAAATAAGTGGGCTTCTCTCACTAAAGAGGAAACAATTAAATAGTGCGCCGCGGAGTCTATTTATGCCGAAAATCTAGGTATTAGACACGGCGATGAATTAGTGTATAAAGGAGGGACCGATAAGTCCGTATTCGTCACCCTTTTGCCTAAAGACAATGGGTCTTTATTTATCTCGTCGATTATACCTATTTATAAAGGAGACTTCTTAGGCATATTTACTAGTATAATCCGTTTCTCGGAGGAGTTTAGTGAAACTTATGGTATCTCCGGTCCTACTAGGAGACTTTGGCTTGACTATTCTTGAGTTATAGGGGTACTAAACTAGATGTAGGTATCTAAGCCCGGTAGTAATGCAAACGTGTGCCTTCTCTAGGAGGCATTCTGTGGCGACGTTGAGATATAGTCTTGCATTTCCTGGTAAGTCTCTATTAAAGCCACCAAACAAATCATGCCGTTTAATCCTATCATTCGTGTAGCTGCTTAGTAAGAGCAATACGATCTGTATATATTACCTAACAATGCCTAAAAAGGCTTCCTCGGAACTTGCATTAATTAAGAATCAAGGTGGCGGGAGCTCTGTGCTTGGATTTGAGTCGCCTTCCATTTCATGGCAACCAAGGAAAATCTTGGAGTTTTATTATTCATATATGTTACTCTTATGCATGAAGATTTCCTGTGTTATGTAGGCCCCGATCTCACGCTGCGTTTGAATTTAAAATCCCCGCACGCGGTTGGAAATTTTGAGACGTCTAATCCTCTGTGTCCTTAGTTTTTTTTTTGCCATATTCTCGGTCCACGAGTTCACTAGTTACCAGTTTGGGGCTAGCGTCGTTCAAACTACGGAGGTAAAGACGCTAACCGAATTGAGGGGGGACCTAATGGACGTGTTATATTTAGGACACATATTGCGTATTTTCGTCCCATCTATCATACGTTTTGATGGGTTGGTTGGAACCTGATGTGTGATTGGCCCACCGCTACTTCTTTCTCCACCTTGGAGTAGCCAAATTATTTTGGTGGGGTTATTAAAAACTGTCGCAAGGCCAGTTTATTCTCACCCGTGCCAGCCTATTTTGTGCCATATACCCCGTCTGACAAGTCGTTGTCCAAAAAGCGGCGCTCGCGCCGCCGCAGGGGAGAGTCAGTCACCCCAAAGCGACGCCGACCAGGACCTGATCAACTGCCCCGTGGATCGGCCCCCTCTTCGTCGACAGCGATCGGGCAACAATAATACGGGCTATGGCAGCCTTTCATTAGAAGAGGATGGCAAGCCGATCCCTCATACCCCTGCTATCGCATTAGGTTACTGTTTGAGACATTCACATTGTCCCAAATATGGAACGCACTTATGCACCCAATAATGACATCGGCGTTTTGGTTTTGTATTTTGACTTGGTCATGGGAATTACGGGCCATTAAAGAGGGGGAAAGGGAATGGTATGGATGGCGGCATTTGTACTTGTGCGAACGGTAGTTGAAACGTGATCACATTGGCTATTCGCTTGTCTGACTAGATAAGCTTATACATATGGCTTTTTCTTTGGCCTAATATCTATAATGAATCATCATTTATATCTGAAAAGATTACGAGCCAGCACCTTACAGACCAATGCCGTTAGATCATGCCTAGACTGAAATGCGGTATCCGCTGCTAGCTCAAGTGTTCAAGACACTGGTGGGTGTTGTTGCGCCAGTCAACGTTTGCAATATACGCTCCTTGCATCAGCGCTATGTGTAGGAGGAAGCCGACGGGGAGTTTTTGGGATGAGGATGATCCGCCCGAATGCATGCTGGTTTGCAGACTTGACTGATGATAAATGGCACTCCAAGAGGGTGAGCCTGGTCGAGGTGGGTATATGCGTATAAGAGACGTTGAGACAACTGATCGGAGTTGTCGAAATCGAGGCTTGGAAAATCCTCGATACGCACACGGAAATTGTGTCTGGAATCAGGTACTGAGGTCAAGTACAAGACGTCGTATTCTTGGTCGTTTCGATGCTCGAGGATATCTTGTTGGATGCGATCAAGAAAGCGGGCGTCGAGCGTTCCAACGATCTGTCTTTGCATATTTAGAGACAAAGGTAGAGTATATTGAGATTGTAGGTGGGCAAAAAACTGTGAGTAGATAAAATGTGGAATAGACAGCCTTTAAGTACTAGAGGTGGCAAATGCGATAACTAAGCCCAACCAATGCCAAGGAAAACACCTACCGAATTGATCAGAGTATGACTGATCTTGATGAATATGAGCAAATTGACCTTCGTGGTAATCGGGGGTTGTCTTGCGGTGGTCGCCTTGGATGTTGCTTGGGCTTTTCTGTCTAGAACCTTCGCGGGAATGGATTGACGTGGTAAGCAACAAATAACCTCCCTGATTACTTCATGCGCGGAATAAAATTTTGTTAAGCTATTCAATACAGGCTTACAAAACTGGTTTTAGTATTCGTATTCCAGCGAGGGACCGCATATGCAGAAAACTGATAGTATTTGGCCCAGCCGGTATGATGATGTCCAAATTGTAAATAGCAGCAACCCACTCGTTGTATTATTTACCGAGATCTAATTCCAATAGTCGACAAACGAAAATTTAGAAACTAAAAAAATCAATGAATTTTACCAGTGACTATTGGTTAGAACAACAGGTCGAAAGTTGGGCGAGTATTTTCGAGTAGTGGAGGAGCTATCCCGAACCTAATATAAAATGTGTTTGCGAACTACCACCGGCGGCACTATACCTCTTCTACTGAAATGCCTCTCTTGGTTTTCCTGGTGTACTAATTACATTGTGCCCGACCGGCAAAGATGAAAAATAGGATCGCGAGATCTGTTTCGACTTGGTAAGCCTTCAAGTAAAAAGTTAAGTTGAAACCAAGAAGTTGTTCAGTAACACGCATTGTAAGATTCAATACCGTGATAAGCGGTCTTGTTAGCTATACTAACTAATAATCTCAAATGCCCTTCGTATGGCTCTCATGTAAACATTCCATTGTGTTACATTAACTGAGAATATGATAAGACGTATAAACTTACCTGCGAGAGTTCCTCAACGGATATACTCTCTAGCTGGTAAGACAGACCTTCTATCTCTGGACTCTTATTCCAAGTTAGGTTACTTTAGCATTAATTTGGTGATAATATCAGCTAGAGCGTACGATTGTATCGTCGTAAGGTTCATTTTCGATTTATTGAATTTCGACTGCCTCCAAACTCATTCAATAATCTCAAACGAAATTTTGGATACCATATTTGTCTGGATTTGTATTCTATACCAATCGAGGCAAGGAAGTGGCGTAAATGTCTCAAGCGTTCTCGAATCGGAATGAAACAGGGTTTCCGGGCAGAGACTTGCAATCCGATCCGGTCTGGTCGTCATTTGGATTGAAGGCGGCCACCGGATTACCGTTGCAATCAGGCTCGGCATAGAAAACAATTTGGCCGTCAGCATCTAGAGACAAGAGCTGCAACCCGGCACCGCCGTCGCCGAGACCAGTGTGGCAATCCTCGTCATCACCGGAGTAAGGAATGGCCTCGCCAGTACATTGAGCATTTTGATAGACTGCAATGCGATATTCGTTGCCAGCCCGAGCGTTCAAGGCACTGGTATTATTGCGCCGGTCGATGCTTGGAATGTACGCTCCTTGCACCAGCGTGGCGCCTAGCAGGAAGCCGACGGCGGCTTTTCGGAATGATCCGCTCGAATACATGCTGGCTTGCAGACTTGATCGACGACAAATGACACTCCAAGAGGGTGAGGCTGGCTACGGCAGTGGAATGCGTATAAGAGATGTTGAGACCACTGATCGGAGTTGTCGAAATCGAGGCTTGGAAAATCCTTGATACGCACACGGAAATTGTGTCTGGAATCATGTACTGAGGTCAAGTACAAGACGTCGTATTCTTGGTCGTTTCGATGCTCGAGGATATCTTGTTTGACGTGATCAAGAGCGCGGATTTTGAGAGTTCCAAAGATCTGTCTTTGCGTTTTGTGTCAGAGATGAAAAAAGAGCATACTGAGTTTGGAGATGGGCAAAGAACTATGAGAGTAGATGAAAGGTTGATGGGGCAACCGTTAAATGAGAGAGAAGTTGTAGCAAATGTCCAATCAATGCTAAGGAAAAAAGACCTACATGGTTGTTCAGAGTATGACTGGCGTTGATGAATATGAAAATACCAGCAAGATTATGAAAGTTGAACGCTCTTATACCTGGATCTGTCGCCCATCGATATTAAACCTGCTGCACAGTCATACTCTAGTCATTGTGTAGATTAAGGCTGGAATTGCATCTCCCAGACTGAATGCCTTGCCTGTGATAGTCTAAGAGGCTATTCACTTGAAAACGCTAAACCCCAATCTGACGACCTTTCTCGATGGACTCATCATGATCAGGTTATAGATGCCGTCGATGACTGTGCATGACAATGACGCACAATAACCGGTTTTTCAACGACACAGCTCTCGATCGGCAACTCGCCTGGCCCCCATTTCCCTTCCATATCCTTTACAACATCATATTTGATGACTTTGAGACTAGGACATTTGGGTTTGCTTAGAAACTAACTAGATGTTCTCGTTTGGCTCATATGGACCGGTGAGGCAACTCAGCCTTATGCCCTGACGCAAAATCCAAATAAGTCGAGATTACAGACCAAGGGCCCATAGTAGACTTGGACAACATTCTCACCAAAATCGACGCTTAGCCAAATGAGGATACTATAAGCTAACATATCCAGTTGTATCATGGTATACGGAGTGGGGCGTATTAGATTTTAGAGCCGAATGAGTGCTTGTTTTGTTACCGTATCCTGTCATTGAAATTCATTTTGGAAAGGTCCTAGAACGGGGTCAAGATCTGGGGGCCTCGAGGGCTAGCATGATTAGTAATTAATTCCTCTATTCTCTGGTCGAAGTCTCCCACCTGAGATACTTCTCGAGGCCATGTTGATAAAATACCGCATTACTGTGAATTCCTAGTCAGTACAAACGGTGGCTCTCCCCCCTCACCAATGTTGCGTCCGGTTTTATCCAGGTTTCCATCTCACGACAATCTCATAATTCTTGAGCCTTGTCAAATAGACACGAGGGAATGACGGGATCCATGCGACACTTACGCCCTTTGTCTAATAACAACTGAGTCTGCACCCTGTGAAAAAGGCATCACAGAGGCTGAAGATTGACAGGAGGCTTGACGCTGAGGTAGCAGTAATGCTTGTAACTACAAAACAGACTAGCGATTTGAGCGTGACGACTTGGACTCCGCTGAAGCTCAAGGTTGATCTCGCTTGACAGTTGCAATGGCCAAAATGGGGCCAAAATATCGACCCCTCATCAGTAGCCGCTGTGTGGGCAACTTTCAAGCCAGGGTGAAAAGTTACCAATGACCAATGGTTCCTGTATTGTAGCTTCTTCCAATTTGGAGAATTATTGGACGCGCTTGTATCCGAATGGACCATTGAGGTGAGTCAGACTGTTTTTGAGATGTGCTTTAACTACCGGATCAAACAGAATATTTTGATTTTGTGCTATTATTCCGGCGTTGATACCACGAAAGTCAGGCATGACAGGAATGCTGAATAAAGGTCCACATGCTAGGGAGAATCAATATGAGCCTTTTGCTTTCTGGAACAGATGCTCGACTTGTCCAGTGGCGCCAATGATCCATCGGACTCCGCAGACACCATCACGACCGATAGCAGGATCCACCTGTGCTGTCATTAGTCTCTAGCAAGATATGGGCTTTCCACATAGTCAAAGTCGAGTAGATGGAAATACTGGCTAAAATACACTAGATTGTGTTCTTGTCCCTGTCCCCTATTTTCAGAAATTTTAGGCAGTTAAACCCATGGGAAATTCTTGAACTTCGACTGGCTAACGGAGGCTTTTTGTCAGCTGCCAAGACCCAAGTACATGACTGTGCAGTTGATAGTGGGCACCGACTCAGTCACCCGGCGCATAGTAAGTAGCATCTGAAAGCTGATTGCGTCAATCATGGTTTCCAGAGCACTGTTTGGGTTTTGCTAACCTACAATAGCTTCAATAATTGATCCTGTTGGGTTTTGATTCTCATCTCCTTCGACGAGTTCTGATTCAGTATCTTTTTGACCACCCAGTAAGATCTTGATCTTAAACATGCTACAGAAATCACAAGTTCACAATGCCTGTTGCTCAAACCCAGATGTATTTATGCCAAGCCCCGATCTATAGCTAACTGGCTAATGAAAATGTTCCAGTATGCCAAATTTCTCGTGCACCGCTAAGACGAGCGGTGGTAACGCAGATTCCGAAACTTCATAGAAACCCGAAATGTGTTTCCCTCTTCTCTTCCACATTAAGAGGTGGCAACCCTCCAGAAGGCTCTCTACCAAGTTATTCTGCGCCTTAGATTCCGCTACGGTGTCTTCCATATAGAACCTCGGGTGTGGAATTCCAGTCATCGGTATCAACCAGGACTCGACGGCAAATCTATGGATTTAAGTCCTAATACTATAGATCTCAATTAGCAGGCCCATATATCTCTCATTAAGATAAATTCTAGACCACTAGGTTATATAGATATATACGCTACTATCCTAATAAATTAGGTCGACTTCCAAGGCTGTTCGCATTACACATTTTACTCGCACTCCAGGACGAATGTAGACTCCGCTCTCTGTCGAAGCCTTATCAGGCCCGTCCGTTCGTCGCGATATCAGTCATTCAATTTGAAAAGTCCGGTGTTATCGCCTCAGATAGCCCATGTCACGGTCTCTATCATGAGTTTCTAGAAAGGCGATATTATCGAATATCTACAGCTTAGCACAACGCCATGGCTTGCCACGTTCCTCAAATGCCTTTTTAGTAAAGCATATCTTCAAAAGCAACTCGGAATTCTTGTGCTTCAAATAGATCCATACCTTGTAGATCAAAAAGCCATGGTGTGTGAATGTCGGAATTAGGTATCGTATCAAAATGAGTATTGTCCACAGAAACCTCTGGTCTTGGTTCCAATATCTTAAAGCCAGACGTGTGGACGTGGTGACCAAAGGATTCTCGGTATTACTGCATCAACTTTCTTCCGATTGGCTATAATAGATACTGAAGAGAGAAGAGCGCGATGGCGGTCTGACATAGCAGACAGGAGGATAGGCATAAATGGCCTGGATGGCAGCAGTGAGCAGCGCAGCGAGCATCCTAAATGAAACCATACTATGAAATCGCCCTTTTTCAGGGTAGATGCTTAATTCATTCCTCCTAAGGCCAGCAGACGAGGGACCATATAGGATTATATCACCGGCCTGTGCGCAGCCAATGAGATCGCCCCATTATCCTGTTCGCAGTCCTCCCACTACACTACTTACTTGAATGGAGTATGTAGACTTCGGCAGCATTCAGCGTTGGGACACATTTTTTGTACTGTTTCCTTTGCTTCCAGCTTCTAGCTTTCAGATCTACTTCTAAGGTTGTCTGGTTTTCCTCGATGAGCGCTGCTGCCATGCCCAGGTGCAGGAGTGGAGGTATCTATCTTGAAACCTGAGATCAGTCAGTCTGGAGCCCACCGCAACTGTACTTAGAGAGACATATATTGCTGTTGTATCCTGCATATTGTTCGCGAAGTTGAAACCCTGAATTGAGGTACAAGTGTGATGATATCATTAAACCTATGGGGAAAGATCAAGCTACTTGTAGTCGCAGTAGCTCACCTCCCTTCTGCCTAGCGGAGTGGCAGCCTAACAGGCAGCCACTCTTATAGACCTATATACATCACGTGACCTGGGATCCAACTCGCGAGGGGTCAGGGTAAATGCTTTGGATTTATACGCCTCGTGGAAAAGCATGTTGATGCGACTTGTTCAATATTTTATCCGCGCTAGGCCTTTGTCGTGGAGTCAAAACATGATTACTCAGTATATATTGGTCAAGCCGGTTTCGAGAATCACAGCAAGGCTTTGGATGGTAACTTGCTTTATCTCAGTATATCCACGTTTAGACGGTTCATTTTCGGCTTGTCATATATCTTTGGAAACTGCAGTAGTTCTTTGAAGTTGTTGTTGAGGCCTCAGAAACCAATGCCAGAAAGTAGTTCATTTACAACTTACCCAGGACATGTATTTGGCCCGGAAACGGAGTAAATGGAGGAACATCAAATATGTACACTCTACACAGATATATGCGGAAAATGTGCATAACAGTTACTACAGTATTAGCGGTCTTCAATCATGTATCATTTCGAGTGCACACTGATTTAAATGCCAGCGAGGATTCATAAGATCAGCCGTCTGCTTTTTATAGACAGTAGCATTACAAATCCATACGCCGAGCTACTTCACGAGACGCATAAATACAAAGCTAAGGATCTATAAAAATGTGGCCAGAGGACATGATATATTGTCTAATGCATCTCATAATAGCACAACCCAAATGAAGGAAAAATCACTTTTCTCCTGCGCCAGGTCGCATGGAGATGGTGCATAACTCTGGCGAAATACGTATGTTGGCATATTTCTGAAATACCATCAAATATCTGTAGATTGATTTTGGGGGGGCCAATAATCCTTCGCCCAAGCATGGCAATCACTTTGAAACCTGTTGATCTCTTAAAACCCTGGTTGCCAAGGAGAAAACGCAGGACTAAGCCAGACTGCGGCTGAGGATTTATTTGTTAAATGCTCCTAGAACGGTGCCCCTGCATTCTTTTTGTCTTGCATATAAATCAGGCCAGCGAATCCTTTGAATAGTATTTGGCTTTGCCACGGTCTCCTCACAGAGACAGTCATTCATAAAATGATCAGACACTAGAAAATGAGTAAATTGGCAGGATATTCGATGCTTATTATCAACCGTGGAAGATAGTTGTAGGGAGAAAATTGGCGCAAACAGATCCTTACCTAGCGTCCTTTTCTAATGGTACTTATGGGCCCTTTTCCGGGCACTTCTAGGTTATGCGTGCGACTACACTCTTGGTCAAAGCGCCTCAAATTCGGCCCCGGTCGCGCATTGAGCCCCAAAGTGACTAATGTTGAAATCAAATCATGTTGTAACCACAATATTGCACAGATTTGTCCATATATTATAATCGGAAAATTTAATCACAAAATCCATATCTCAATGCTAGTATATCAATATAAAACAGTGGCTTCCGATTCTAGCTTTAGGTAGGTAGAGGATTAAGCAATGGACAAGCAAAATAACAGGTTGGATTTGGACCGGTAAGATTGCCCGCACATGCAGACGGGGGCTGAACTATGATTACTTGGCTAGAATATACCTGTTTTGTGCGCCATGTTGTATCGCATCAGATTGGTCAGGTCCCGCGTGTTTTACATATTGCGTACTTTTGCTCCGAGTACATGATCTGGTAAGTGATCGCGACTTGTGGGTCCTACTTATGTCTAGCCACATATAGTTACTCGGAGAAGAATTCACATATTTGTTCTGTGATGATGCGTTCTTATTCCGTTGGAAAAGATTCATGTTTAACCAAGCAAAAGAGAGGGGGCGCAGAATCAAGGCTTTCAGGCCAGGGCCGTGTAGGTAAATCTTCCCCCCACCCCCCATGCACAGATCTACCCATCCAGTCCCCGGGGAAAGTCTCGGCCGCTGTTTGTCTCATAATTGGCTCGATTTGAGCGCCGGGAATATGAGCATCGATGATGATGTGCCCAGACATAAATGGTATAACCTATCCTAACAGGCAGGGATTCCACAGCAGCATTGAATGCGTTCTGATCACATCTAACCTGAAGAGCCTCTCCATCGAAGTGAAAACGGCAATGGATTCGTATGAGTTCCCTGATATCCCAGATTTGGAGTACCCTCAGATACCCCGCGCTTCATCTACGCGAATCCCTCTACACAGTTCGAAGGCAGACCAGCAACGGGAACGTAACCGTCAAGCACAACGTAGGCATCGTGAGTTTTTTTCCTCGCCTTAGGCTCAACCTCATACCGCCAACCAACCTGACCTGGAATCTGCAGGTCAATCCATCAAGCAGCGGTTGGAAAAGTATGATCGGCTGCGCGAAAGTCTTCAAGACCCCGAAAATGACCCCAAAGACTCGGAGGATTTCGCAAACCTACCATCAAACCAACAGCAAAATTTGCCGTCGCCATCAACTAGTAGAACACCTTCAGTGCCCACTTCATCAATCTTGTCAAGACCCTTATCAGAGGTCGATGTCGATCAGCCGAAGAACGCTCAGCCCGCAGATCCTTATGATACTCTCTCGCAGTCGTCCCGTGCCTGGTCAACAGCACAAGATATAAATTCCTCCCCAGGGAGTCTTCAAAGCGAGAAGCACAGTTTGATGGTAAGTTCCCTTCTTTTGATATTCCCCTCCCCAGCTTCTGATGTTACCAAGAGAGCTTACATTTCAAAATCAAGACTTTCTCTCCATCCGACGCAGCATTTGAACTTGATCCGAGCTCTGTCTTTTCTCAGCTTGAATTCGAAACGAAAATCAAGGCAGATAGTCAGTGGGGCTCCGGTCGAACTTTATTGCATCAGGGTGTGGTTTTAAATAGCGAGGATATCGTCCTGGTGTTGCTGGCCCATGTTGCTGACATGGAAGCTCGGGATTATGACGGACGGACGCCTCTTCACCTGGCTGCTGCTTTAGGATACGTAAGCATAGGGCGTTTGTTACTCATGCATGGTGCTGCGACGACGGTATCATGGCCGGACAAATGTGGACTAACTCCGATGCACCTTGCAGTTCAAAACGGGCATGCCCCCATGGTCGAGGCTTTAGTCGAGTTCGGTGCCGGTGTTAATTTGCGATTCTAATGAGATGGGTTTGCCGAACTTTTGCAGACGAGTGTATCTTTCAGAGACGGGATAAGACGAAATCGCTAGTCAATCTGGCCTCAATCTCAGGGTTATGGCATTCTTGTTCGTATTCACATCAGGGTTTGTTTGACCTTGCAGATTCAACCCTTTCTTCGTTGTACAAATCAATTCGATCGGCCGAATTCAACAACGTGGCACCTGCTCAGAGTGGACCAGATATACCTTGCTCCCAGCATAACATGGCCGTGAAAGAGCCCTCTCCTTATCACTAAGGCCTAACGCCCCTAGATAGCCCCACGAAGGGGTCGGCTTCAGTTTAAGCTACCGTAAAGGATCTGAAGCATCTCTTTAGAGTGTCTCTTAAAAAGGTGCTCGATCTTACCAACCAAGTACCTCTAAATACTCCTGTCTCCCAGGACCAGTTCCCACCAGGCACCGACGTGGTTCGGCAGGTGCTAGAATGTGTTTTAGCTAAACTATCTGTGGCAACTAAGCCTGCTCAAGCAAGCAATAAATAGGAGGGCGTACAGGTTGCAGATGAAATTGATCTCAATAGTCCGATCTATACTACTCCGGATGATTTCAAATCGTTTGAAAAGTGGGCCTCGACATCCCAATACACGACGATCGTGGAAACGTATAAGTAGACTGCGACATCGCCCGTCCATGGGCACCTAGGAGGTGCCCATCGCCCGTCCACGGTAGGCGGTGGGCTATTTGGATTTTCGAGTGCCCGTCCATAACGCCTAAGGCCCACGGGCATACCTATCCCGGGCATACCCACTACGCCCACTATTATATAAAGTCACCTAAAATAGACGTATAACTCGCTAACTTTATATAATAAATAACTATTATTTACACCTATTTTGCTAACTCTATATAAAATCGCGGTTTTAATCTACAATATCTATAAAATTTACTAAAATATCTAAGTATATAAGAAACTAATATATAAATAATACGACTTAGAATAAATTTTCAATCGAAATATATCATATTATATAGTATTTTTATTAACTTATTAAATTATACTATAATAGTTTAAAGATATATATTTAAGTTAGTGGTATATACCTACTATTTTTTATAAGTAAAATACTACTTATAGATTCCACTTTATCTCTCGCTCTAGTATATTTCTTATAGGTAGATCGAAAGTAAATTAGTATAAATCTTATTCTATAAGCTTATATCACTTAATTATATTAATTATATCACTAAAAGACTTATATTATTATTCTAGGAGTTTTAAATCCTTCGATTATAACTTAAGATAGGCGTTTAGGTATATATCTATAGGTATACCCGTGGGCACGCCTATAGATAAAGACACTTATAGCTAATTAGCTTATAATATATAGTGGGTCTATACTTAATTTAAGATCTATTAGATCTATATAAAGCACCCCTTTTACTAGTAACCCCCGTTTCACATAGTTATAAGTTACCTATCGTAAGTTTAGATCACTCACTCTCCCTTATATCGTATTAACTATATCCTAACCTAGTGCCTATACCGTAGGGCCTTCTTTACTTCCTCCGAGCTCCTAACTAGACCTCTCCTATGTCGCCGATATATTTAATCCTAACCTTAATCTAAATATTAATCCTAGTCTCTTTAATAGCTAATAGACTTCTATATTAGTGATAGAGTCTAAGTTCACTTAACCGGCTATTCTTAATTACTCTCTTAAACGCGTCGGCCCCGATCGGAGAAAGTAGTTTATCCTCTACGACGCGATAAATAACGCGTCTAAAGTAAAGTTTATCGAGTAGTAGCGTACTATAGTATATAGTAGCGGTACTAAGGTATAATAAAGGCTACGATAGGATATAAAATATATATTAGATATCTAGGAGAACTTCGACTAGGTAGTATATTATATTATAAACGAACCTTTAGTTATATATCGGACGTATAGGGCTATATTACCTTATCTAAGTACGAAGTAAAGCGGCACTAACACACTTAAGCGGTATATAGCCTTAGGTAAATACTAAAAGGGTGGTAAAAGTAAGTCTATATAATAGTCGATTAAGGAGACTATATAGTATATACTAGTAAGTCTTATATAATTATACCCTTTAAGATAACTAACACGTTATATATTAGGTATTAGTTAGAGTTATCTTATAAGTTAAAATGCTCGAATAATAAATAGGAAAGAGAGTAGATTAAATATCTTACTAGTCTAAACCTCCCTTTCCGGATACTTAAGAGGAAGTAATCTACTTCCTTAATTCGAATAGTATAAAAGGCTCTAACTAAATCCACTTTACTCTATCCTCGCACTACCTAACGCCGGCTTTAGAAATTAGTCGATAAGGAGTAGTATATAATTCTCGCTACCTTACTATAAGATACGAAGCTCTTAATCGCCCTCGACTACTAGATATCGCCTTTTTAGTAGGTATTTATAGCGATTATAGGAGACTAGAATTACCGTAAGCTCCTACTTAGTTTCGAACCACTTAATAGGGCGTATTCTAGTATAAATCTAAGTAAAGTGCTTATAGAGATCTTTACTAAGCTTAATATTACTAATCGTATATTAGCGATTATATTATATAACGTATCGAATAACACAACTTTAGTATAGGTAGTTTAAGACTCTATTAATTCCCTTAAACTACCGAATAGCCCGGTGGTTATTCGAATCCCTTATCTTATATATATTTTCTAGCTAAGCCTTCGCGAGCTACTTAGATCGGTAAAGGCTAATCCCTAGAACGATACTATAGATCGGAATATTTCTAATATCTAAGCCTAAGCCTAAGCTCGATCGCTCTATACTTTATAGAGTAAATAAGTTATTATATAAACCCTTATTAAGGTAAGTGTATCACTTTATTTATTACTTAATATATCTAATAAATATTAAGATTCGAGGGCTTACTATATTTATTAATATAAGCCCCTAACGTCGCGATGATTAGGCCTTGACAAGTCCCGTAGCACCAGCCAATTTTTGGTTCCGGTGCTACAGCACTAAATAGAATTCTGGTGCTGTGGTGCTGCGACCATACCTATTTAGGTTAGAAGATTACCTAGATAGGAAAGTGATCGACATGATAATGCCAAGGCAGCACTGAAACTAGCGCCTTGGCTCCTGCTTGGCGCCAAGGCGGGACCAAATCGGCGGGACTTATCAAGGCCTAGCGATGATTTCTTCCGTCTCTAGACTAATAGAGCAAAACTTGCGCCTATCTAAGATGTCCGCACCCGCTAGAATTCTACCTTCTTGATACTTTGTCGTGCGAAACGCCTTAGTAAGCCCTACGATAAATACTATAATAATATTAGGACTTAGAAATATAAACTTAGTAAGGTAGAATAGCGGTAGGTCGACTACCTTCTATATATTATAGAGCTGTTCTACCGCTTTACTATAGTGCTTTTAAAGACTAAAGAGATAATAGTATATTATATTTTTAGTATTTATAACGCCCTCTTTAAGCACTTCGAGGAATCGATTATACGACTCACTCCGAAAACTATACCTTAGAAGAAGGCGATACTATAAGCCCTTAATACTAGGATAGTAAAGCTTACTTCTTACTATATAAAGACGAAAGAGATCTATAGTAGTCTCTACGCGATTAGAATAATTCTTATACCCTAGTATAAGCTTTACTTCTTCTTAAGTAAGGCATAGGGTATATCGGAGAACGATATAAACTAGAGTGATTAGTATAAGGAAACGCTTCGCGAGTTTATAGCTCCTTACGCCTAAAGACACACTTAGATATAGTCCCTACGAGAAGAGTAACCCCCTAAGCGTTACTTAGCTAGTATAAGTGACCTAGACGCCCTCCTTAACCTTCTACCTTATATCCACTCTAATCTATTAACGTCGGAGCACGAACTTACTAGATACCTTAAAAAGCGTACGTTATATTTACTATTATTACGAGCGGGAATACTAATACCTATAATAGTAAGGAGAAAGGTCGATCCTTTATAATTCTAGAAGGAATATAAGAATAAATTCCTAATTCTTTTAAGTATTACTCGCGATATTCTCTCTATTCCTATAATAGGCGCTAGAGTTAAACGTCTTTTTAATTTAGTATAGGATATCTACTACTACCGACGTAGGCGGCTAAGTGCGAAGATAGTCTAGGATATTATAATATTCCGGTGTAAAACCTAGTTCGATATTAAAATAGAAGAACTACCCGATAAGGATACGTCCTTAGATTTAATATAAGAAGTAGACGAATAGAGAGAGGCTAAGCTTACCACTAATATACCTAAACTAATTAGCGATAGTGAGGATTCCGAGGATAATAATCCTATTAGACTAATCGAGCACGAGTTTATAATAGAGAGTTAGCTTCCTCGTCCTTCTATAGTGCTAAGTACGCGGAAGCGATAGATAAGTGAGCTAGTCGATAGCGAAGATAAGAGTAGTCCTTATCTCCCTTATTATAGAGATAAGGGTAGCACTTAAGAGCGCCCTAGTTTAAGAGAAGTAAGGAAGCGTAGTAAACCTAATAATAATCAATTTATATTATATTAGTGTGAATATATAACTATAATAAATGCCTAAGTCATTATATAAAGGCTTCTAAGGCTTATTTCTAACCCCGGTTAAAAAAGTGATAATATATTAAGTTATTATATAAAGGCTTCTAAAGCTTATTTCTAACCTCGGTCAGAAAATTAACTATAGTGTTAAGTTATTGTATAAAGGCTTCTATAGTTCATTTTTCTAACCGAGGTCAGAAAATTGATAGTAGTATTAAGTCATTATACCTATAATCGAATTGCTTAAAAATACAGAGAAAAAATGCACAAATAATGTAGGTCATAAGGTCAAGAAATTCTGCTTACTAAAAAGGCCTATGGGCGCCCACAGTGTCCATAGACAATAGGCCCTAAGGGTAGGGCCCGTCTATAGGCGTATTAATAGTGCCTATCGCCCGCTTACATAAGGCCCGTGGGCACTGCCCACCCGCCCGTCCATGGGCGATGTCGCAGTCTATATAAG